TGATTGGTTACCTGGAAGCTGTACCGCGGTGCGTGCGTACTCGTTACACGATCACCACATTAACGCAAAGCTAAAGTGAACGGGGGAGAGCTGTTTGGTTGGAGAACCTGCAAGCGATCGGCTCTGCATCGAATTCACTTTCAAGTAAAAAAGATCTGGAATTGTAAGGGGCTATCACTAAGCTACGATGGTCAATCAATAGTGTACCGTCTGGTTTTTGTAACAGGTTGTCTCACAAACCCACGTTCCTTCATTGTATAAAGACCTACAACCCAGTCGTTGTGTAATCTTACTGAGAAGTATCATATTGAGAAGTTAATCGCTATCGGATGCACCCGATGATAACCGGGGAAATGTGAGTTTTCGCTTAATGTCTACGGCAAACAATTGGTCGTAATCTATTTACGATAATCCCCACAGATAGATTATCACACTGACTACTCGGGATTGAAACCCACATGATTCGATTGTAATGTAATGATGATGATTCCTTAAACGGTTGGATGGTGAATCTATACTGACATTAGGTGATAAATGTATCCTTTACGATCGATACACCCTGAGCTTGCTCTTAGAAGACGTTCATCGTTGGGAGTCCTTCGACTGTCGATGTTCATGTAGTTTGTCTCAGGTTGGAATACAAATCGATTACGGTGGTACCCAAAGCTAGCGTGCATGTGTTTCGACTTTTACATTTACCCGTAAGCGATATTTCATCAGGAAAAAAAAAACGATTCACACAATGCTCACATAACTGATCCAACCATTGCTCCATAGAAGGGTGATCAGACTCCGGTCATGAGCTCAATCTGTTGTAAAGCCTGCAGTCAGTGAGACCAACTAGGCATTAAGTTAAAAGGGACGTGCCACTTGAACTTAAAATACGGTAGAGTAATATCGATCAAGATATCTGTTGTGGCCAGCAATCGAATGAAACGTTTACCGCACATCACGTGATTGACCGTTGCGGCCTGCCGCCACGCGCACGTATGCACGTCATGCGGACTTTGTTACAAGGTCTTCCCGCGTCAGCAAATCAGAGGTTTGTATTGATCTATCCGCATTGATTGGTTCGTTGATTGTCCAGCGTGACGCTTGCGCCAAGCTTTTGCCTGCCTGTGTGTTGACGCACTGCTTGCTCACCAGACTATGGAAAGGTTAAATTTGCATTTAAATACTGTAAATAGGATAACCACTTGATTCACTGCTCGCGTACGTACTGACTCATACGGGATACAGCAATATCCTCTAATATGTTTGCTGTATTTTACCGTCCACGAATCGTGAAACGTTTTTTATTGACTCACGCTAGATCATGTGATCCTGTAACATGATGATGCAGCCAATGAAAAATAAATTATACATTATGTTATCCGACTGTTTCAGATCGAATCAAATTTATGTATATATAAACAGGTGTTGACCAAACTCGTGCAACATCAACCTCATTTTGAAAACCCATTTCAGCTTGCAATAGCATACTTATATATAGATGGTTATGAGTACGGTGTATTTATTCCTGACTTTATCTCTAACATCTACGTTCTTAGTTCATTTCTATCACCATATGAATGTGCGCGACCTTGAGTGTCGCTATAATGTTTGTAGTAGTTCGAAAGTTACAGCTCTGATTTAGAAAATATTTTGGGCAAAGTAGCAT